GTGGCCTGGCGCTGCCACCTCGACGTGGCGCCCTGCGCCGCGACTTCCGCGCAACCCATCGTCAGCTCGTGGATGGCGTTGCCCTGGTGCGTGGGGCGCGCGCGCGACGTTCGCGAGATAACTGTTGCCCTGACTGTGCGGGTGTGCGATTCCAACCCCACGGAAGCGAAAAGTCCAAGGCATCGATCTCATTCCCTGACGTCGGACGTACGATCATTTCCCCGATTCACCTGTGCTGCTGTGTCCGCGCTTTCCCTCCGCTGCAGCGCAGGGAATCCGCACAGCCTCCCCGCGCCAATCCCTGCAACCCCCCCACGCAGATCGTGCCTCACAGTCGGCTACACCTGCGACGGGGGGGCAGCTCGCAGATCGTCCTCCCGCCAATTCGGCACGCACAGACACACGCAACGCGGATCGCTCCCCCGAGGGGGCGGCCTACGGTCCGAGCGGATGAACCCGCATAGGGCCCCACGCCAATTTCGGCCCCACCTGCGCCTCGAGTGGGACAGTCCGCATTTCGTTCCCCGGCCCACCTGCGGCCCCGGTGGGGGAGCTCGCATTCGTGGTGCCCCCAGCGCATTTCGGCACACCCTCACGCGAATCGTGCCCCAGAGAAAAAGAAAGAGAGAGAGAGAGAGATCTGATAACGCAATCAAAATTTGTTTATATATACATATATACATATATAAGAAACGAAAGAAACACCCAAACATATATACACAAATGTGCACCTATGTATCTATACACATTAAAACGGCAACGGCGTGGGACACAGATAACGGCCATACAACATCTTATACACATAGGAAAACACATAGAGGTTTGTAGAAAGGGGACGGGCGGATACGTATGCACATGTATGCCTATAGCGTGCGAGAGCAAGGGCAAAACACAACAGCAGAGAAAGAGGGCGAGATAGAACACTTGTAACATGACATATGTATACGTCTCTATGTGTATATGTGCGCGTGTATGTGTGTATGTGTGTATGTGTGCATGTGCGTATGTATGTATGTATGTATGCATGTATGTATGTATGTATGTATGAATGAATGTATGTATGTATGTATGTATGTATGTATGTATGTATGTATGTATGCATCGCATATACTGCACCGCGTAGTTTTGCATCGCATATACTGCAACACATGGATTACACCACGTAAGTTGCACAACTCGTTTTGCCGACTTAGCACGCGCCAAGGTTCGATGCCCCTCGCCGGACTGTTCCAACAAATGTGGCCAGCGAGCGCGCCTGCACGATGCAAGCGACAGATTACGACCCGGATCCCGATGCACGAGCAGTGCAACGGCCCAGATAATCCGGCACAATCATCTTTGCCCGTCGACCGGGCCCTCGTTCAGCCTCGCGTGGGCGCCTCGAGACATGCGATCTGCCAGCCTGCGCCTGGCCTGGTCCAACCTGTTCGGGTTGGCTGGCCACCCTGGGCACTGCTTGGCGAGGACCACGGTGCGCCGCCTTGCGATCTTCGCCCGCGGGTTGCCGCCGCCCTCTGGCTGCCTGGCTTCCGCTCCTCGCCCCCGCCTTCGTCTCGACGCCTCTGGCGGCGGGGGCGCCTCGGCCTCCGCAGCCGCCACCGCCGCGCATGCCGCTCCCATCGGCGCACTGGTGCGGGCCTGCGCGGGGCTGGCTTCTGTGGGCATCGCGTCGGTCCATCGCGGAGTGGTCGGCCTCTACTCGTGCATTCAGGATGCCGAACTCCTCGTCGCCTCTTCCTCTGCCGGCTTTTCAGCGTGGCCGCCCGCAGGAGGGCGGCCGCCCTGGGCCCCCCTTGCCTCCTCGCTGTCGCAGCTGGCACGGTGCCGCGCGGCTGCCCCGCAAACGCCGCGCTGGCGGCTGCTCCTGCCCTGTGCCACCGCCACCGCCGCGGGCACCTGGCCGCGCGACGGCCCCGCAGGCTCCGCGCTGGCGGATCCCCCTGCCCTCTGACTGCCGCCTCTGCCCTGGTCTTGCCGCACCTCGCCGCCCAATCCCCCGCTCTGAATGGGAACGCCACGCTCCGAAACCGACGCCGTCGCGGAAGACCTGCCGCGCGCGGTACGCTGCGCCTCCCCATCCATCCGATTTCCCTGCGCGGGATGCCTCGCGCGGTGCAGGCTTCGCGCCAGTCCTCCGCGCGGGGTGCGTCGGCGCGGGGGCCCCGGTCGTCTCTGGGTCGGCGAGTGCAGCGCCTGTTGACGAGGAAGGTGATGCGCTCGAGCCTGATGTCGTCGCCGACATGCCAGAGCCCCCTCGTTTGTCCTCTCGACCCGAGAGGCTGCCGTCGCGACGCCGAGGCATGCCCCGCCCTCGCCCTCGCCATCGTCGTCGTAGAACGCCTCTGCGGGCGCCCTGTTGCCGAGCAGCTAGCTTCCGGGCAACCACGATCACCTCCCTGAACTCGTTACGCGCCCGCTCGAGCGCCCCTCCGCGGCGGGCTGGCGCCGCTTCCCAGCTCCCCCCGGTGTCGAGCTTCCTGCGCGCTGGGGGGTGCTCGACCGAAGCCGCCCTGCGTCGCCTGCTCGCCCCCCGCGCCTCCTCGCGCATCCAATGGGCCGGCTGTCGCATGGAGCCTTTGCCCCTCGCTGCTTCCAACCAGCTGCTGTGCGCGGGCAGCTGCGTCACCTCCATCGAGCGCACGGTGCGCAGCTCCATCTGGGACCTTTGTCCCGCCCCCACGTCTTCAAGCTGGGGGGCCCAGGTCGCTGCACTGCTCGTCATGTCGCTGCTGGGCCGGGCCCCCGCCGCGTCCCGAACCAGGGGGAAAAGCGGCCTACCAACGTCACTGGGCTCGTCCTCATCCTCCGCTTTCGCGCTGGGGAGAGAGAGAAAGAGAGAGAGAGAGGTCGACGCGGCCCCTGGTGCTGCTACGTCAAGACGGGCTTGTCGACCTCCTCCCTCCCCGGCCTCCTCTGGGCTGCCCTGAATCTCGCCCCTGCCGCTGGCCCGGGGGCAGTCGGCGACCGCTGGGCCTCTAGGCAGAGCAGGAAGGCGGGAAGTATTCGTCTTCCCCCTGCCCCCCCGCCGCTGCCCTATCTCGGCGACGCAGGAATTGCTCGTCCTCCCTCACCTCCGCGGTTCGTGGCTGCCGCAGCTTGGTCCTCGAAGTGCTGCCTGAAGTTCGCCTCGAAGCTACTCGCTGCGCTGCCGTCGCCAACGTCCACGATCCCATCCCCGCTGCACTGCCTCACCCTCGCCACGTGCCTCTCGAGGACCGTGATCTCGTTGGGGTCGGCAGCCCGCTCGACGCCCATTCTCCTTCACGGCTTGGGGATGCGAGGGCCAGCGTACAACCTCCAGCGCACGGCCTCGGCAGTGGCTGTTCGCCTGCAAACTCGGCAGCGCGCGCCTCTTCCAGTAGGTCTCCAGGTGGTGCTGTACTACAGAGGTCCAGGGGGCGGCTGTTCGTCATTTTCTTGGGCCGCTTCTCCTCCGTCCTCGGCTGCATGTCGTCCCAATCGCCGACCAGCTCGTGCCACCGGCCGATGCTGTAGAACGCCCGCGTCACGTTCTGGCTCGCCTCCTGAATCGTCTTGTCCTTGCCGTAGCACGCGCCCAGCTCCTCCGACTGCTTCGACAGGATATCGAACTCCCGATTCCCGACTGCCGCTCTCCTCTCAGGCCCTATCCAAGGCTACAATCGCAGCTCGGCTTCTGTGCGCCCTGCAGTGCTTTACCGCCTCGACGGGTACCTCGCGATTCTCCACGCAGAACCAAATCTGCCGCCAGACATCCGCGAGAGCTCTCTTGGCGTTGTGCGCCAGGTCCGTCCGCGCCGCAACGCCAGCACAATTGTCAGGTGGTCGGTGAAGATGACGCACTGCTCGCTCGCCCCCATGGCCTCCGTTCTGATGTGCCTCAATCGGGGATGGACAAGAACCCCCTTTAGGAAAACGCGGCTTAGTGAAAACGACCTCGGGCCCAAACCTGGCGGGCGCAAGCCTGGAAAATGACGGCCGTGGCGCTCTCCCGAGAACCGAGAACGGACAACTCACGAATCGACGCGTCCGGTTGGGAGGCCTGTCCATCCTTTTGATGGCGCGCTGCGTCGGCGCGTCCACGGGCAGAGGGCCATGCGTTCACGATGGCACTGCCCTCCGCATCCATCGACATGGGTGCCCGGCCCGCCTGCGCCCACATCGGGGCGCCCAGCCTCGAGCCTCCTGCGCTTCTTGGCCTGCCTGCGCTCGAGCATCCAGCCTGCCTCGCGGCCCCCATCTTCGCCGCAAACCTGCGTTGTCCGCTTCCACTCGGCCCTCTCCTGCGCGACCTCGGTCCTTGCCGACCTGCCTCTCAAGCCGCAGCCTTCTGCCGCCTCCGACTCCTCCCCAGGCTCGCTGTTGAAGCCACCTCCGAGCCCGAGGACGTCCTCCTCGTCGTCGTAGCCCTTGCCGCTCTCACCGAAGCTGAGGTCCTGGTCTGGGCCTTCCTCCTCTCGTCTGACTGCTCTCTCTGCCCTGTGCCGCTGAAGGCTACCTTCAGGTCGGGCATGTCCTCTTGCAGGCGGATTTTTGAATAATACTGAACAGTAGTAAAACCATGCTTCAAAACAAACAAAAATAGTCGCCCCCAGATTATATTTTTAGTATTTTTGAATATTCCTCCTGTAGAAGAACGTGCCCGACTGAAGGAAGGCTACCTCGCACGGTGGTCGCCTCCCCGAGCTCTCCGGAGTGTCACATTCTGTGCTCCCTCATGGGCTGGAAGTCCCAGTCAGCCGCAGGATGACGCAGGAGCCCTCGCGTCCACACCAAAAGTTGGACGGCTCCTCCTCCGCAGCGTGCTGCCACCTTCGCGGGGGGCCCAGGCGGTGCGCCACAGCACTCTTGCAGTTGAAGCAGCGGTGGTGGGCGTTGACCCCCCCCCCCTCCCCCTCTCCCGGGTCCTCCGCAACGCCTGCCTTGTGGAGGTCGTCCTGCGTCCGAGGCCCATGCACCGCAGCCTGCCTCGCCGCGTACACTGCGTGCTGGCCTCGCTCCTCGGTCGGGGTTCCTCTTCAGCTTGGCCACGATCGGGCCCAGCAGGGTCTCGGGGCCACACTCTCGAGGTCCTTGGTACGCTTCTCCCGCATCTCGAGCTCCAGGTCCAGCATGGGCATCGCTTGCAGCACATGGATTGCAACGCATGGATCATACCACATCGATTGCACCTCACAGCGTGCACCACACAGACTGCCCCACAAATGTTGCATCACTGAGGGTGCACCACAGAAAATGCCCAACATGTCTTGCAGTGCATCGGTTCCACGCCATCGATCGCACAACCTAGAGTGAACAACAAAGGTGGCACAACATAGATCGCACCACATACGATACGTCACACAACTTGTTGATACATCACGCAGCTTGCACCGCATGCATTGCACCGTCTATTTCAAACCACATGCATTGACACACGCGTATATTCCGCAACCCATACAAATGGCGCTACAAACACACCGTGTGGGGGGCACGCTGGCTAGCGGACACACGCACACACATACGTATATATATATACACCTATATATATATATACATATGTGCACGGCTGCGTCAGGGCAAGTGAGAGAGGGAGAGCGAAAGAGAGAGATAGACATACATAGAGAGAGAGAGGGAGACCAGGAAGAGCGAGAGAGTGAGAGAGAACAAGCGAGACACAGAGAGGGATAGAGGGCGACATATCACCATATAGCGAGGAAACTAGAGAGACAGAGAGACATATAGAGACAGCGAGCGAACTATACAGCTACGACTACAGAGAGAGGGGGGGGGGGCGACGTGTATATGTGCGTATGTATGTATGTATGTATGTATGTATGTCTGTATCTCTAAATCTATAGACATAGATGCGCAAAGGGGAAAAGCGATAGAGAGTTAGAGAGAGAGAGAGAGAGGAAGAGCGAGAGAGAGAGGGGGCATTAGAGGCATTGATATATTGCAATACGTCTCTATACAGGCATACATATGTGAACTTGCTTGCATGGTGTAAGGAGAGAAGCATCAATGTACTCATAGTCTACAGACATACGGAGAAGGAGAGAGAGGGAAGGCGCGAGAGAGACAGTGGGAGAGAGACAGAGAGAGCGAGCACATAGAGAAAGCTCACCTATGGCGCTAAAAAGAGGACAGGGAGAGAGAGAGAGAGAGAGAGAGAGAGGGAGAGAGAGAGACAGAAAGACCAGTACAGATAAGGAGACACCTATATATATATATATATATATATATATATATATATATATATGAGAGAGAGCGTGATCCACCGCCGCTTTAACTGTGGAAAATTGCCAACCTTTTCTCTCCGGAGCCCGGGGTCGCACCCCCCCCCCCCCCTCCCCGAAAATCCCCCCCCCCTGCTGGAAACCCCTCCCCCCCCCCCCCCCCCCCTCTCCCCCGGCAAAACCCCCCCCTCCCCTAACCCCTCCCCCCCCCCTCCCGCTCGAAAACCGGGGGGGGGTCACTACCGGTTCGAACCCCTCCCCCCCCCCCCCCCCCCCTCCGGATCCGGAAAACCGGGGGGGTCACTACCGGTTCGAACCCCCCCCCCCCCCCCCCCCCCTACTCACCGCCAGCAAACGACTCCCGGTCCCCACCACCGTCCGCATCACATCCCCCACTGGTGTTCCCAGCACCACTGTCCTCACCACCGCTGTCCCCACTGGTTCCACCACCGCCCCTACTGTCCCCACCAGTGGCCCCACCACTGTCGCACTGTTCCCGCTGTCCCCAGAACTGTTCCCACCACGGTTCCACTCTCCCCACTGTCTCCACGGCCCCAACCACTGCCCGACTATCCCTACTGTCCCCACTGTCCCACTGACTCCTCCGCTGTCCCACTGAGCTGTCCCACTGTTCCCACCACTGTCCCCACTGTCCCCACCACTGTCCCCACTGTACCTCTGTCCCATTGTCCCACCGCCGTCCTCGCCACCGCCTTCACCACTGTCCCCACCACCATTGTACCCTCCACTGTCCCACTGTTTCCACCTCATTCCCATTGTCCCCACACTACTGTCCCCACCACCACCGTCATCACCACTGTCCACTGTCCCCCCCTGTTCCCACCATTGTCCCCACCACTGTCCCCACCACTACCGTCCCCACCACTGTCCCACTGTCCCACTGTCCCCACCACTGTCCCGCTATCCCCTCACCACTGTCCCCACCAACACCGTCCCCACCACTGTCCGCACCCCCACTCGGTTTTCGAGGGGGGGGGGGTTCGAACCGGTAGTGACCCCCCCGGTTTTCCGGATCCGAGGGGGGGGGGAGGGGGGGCGGGGGGGGGGGGAGGGGTTCGAACCGGTAGTGACCCCCCCCCCTTTTTCATGATGAGCAGGGGGGGGGGGGGGGGGGGGGGGGGGGGGGGGGGGGGGGGGAGGGGGGGGGGGGGGGGGGGGAGGGGTTCGAACCGGTAGTGACCCCCCCCGGTTTTCCGCCAGCAGCGGTAGAACACGCTCTTTCATATATATATATATATATATATATATATATACACACGTATCTATACATCTACACATGTAGGGAAAGAGGTACTAGGAAACAGAGGGAGACAGAGCCAGCGAGAGAGAGAGAGAGAGATAGGGAGATGGAGAGACACAGAGAGAGAGAGAGATCAAGAACAGAGAAGGATATAGAGAAACCCATTCTGTTCACGGGGACAGAAAGAGGGGGTGAGAGAGAGAGAGAGAAACATAGCGAGAAAGAGACACAAACACAACACACGAGAGATGGAGGGAGCGAGAGAGAGGGGGAGAGGGAACCAACATAAGCTCACCTACGGAGCCAGTGGGGGAGCTCGCAGCGTACCCCCCTGCGCACTTCGGCACACCACTGACGCACCTCTTGGTCTCCAAGGCGCTCCGCTCAGCGCCCTCCCGCGCGGCTCGGCACCTCCCGAGCGCTCACCGTGCCCCGCAAGGCGCTCCGCCTGCGGCGCCAATGGGGAATTCGCGTGGCGTCCACCCGCCAGTTTCGGCACACCCCATCGGATGGATCGCGCAGCACAGTGGCCTCTGCCTGGAGCGCCAGTGTGGAAGCTCGCACTGGGTCCCAGCCCGCCCATTTCGTCACCACCCCCAGGCGCATCGTGCTGCACAAGGAGCTCCACCCACAACCCCAGAGGGCGCCCCCGTAGGACCCCTCTCTCCATCTCGCGGCATCGAGTTGGGCCCTTCGACGCGCTACTTCTGGCTGGGAGGAAGAGCCCGACCGCTCAAGACAAATCATCAGGGAAGCTGCGCATGGGGTCAATTTGATCAACCACATCTCGTCGATGGTTTTCTGGTACTATCGCTGCCGCCTCAAATGGCCTCTGATGCCCAGGATGCGGCACCGACAAGACGACCCCATCTACGACCACACCCATCAAACGCCAGGCCGCGAAATCCAAGGCCACTTGACGATTTCCGTTATGGCTCGAGCACATGCCACAAACTTGTGGATCCAGCTTGGTGGTCAAGGCGAGGGCAAACATGACGATTCCTCGGGAGACGCCAACCATGTGAGGAACAGGAATGGCACCAAGTCTGGTGTAGGTACTGGCGCAGCAACATGCAAACTGGCAGGATAACGAACCAGCTGGACACAAAAGAAAGCTGGGTGGGAGGCAACTGGCAGTTGGCCAAGGGTACGCCCGCTGACGAGTAAGCGGCAGATCGTAATTTTGTGGCGTTGAATACGGCGAAGGGAGGAACCCGAACCAACAGGAGGCATCCTGCGAGCTGTAACATGATTGGTGGTGTGCGGTGCTTGGCGTTGTGTTGCAACCCATCCAACTCCCTTTCCAGCTGCAGTCCATCCTCAGAGCGTCGGGTTGGATGAACGGGGGGATGGCAGAGAGGCGTTTAACGCGATGGGCAGCGAGGCCCAAACCAGCTGCATGCAACAATTTTCGTACACCTCTCCTTGCCCAGTCTCAACCTGCCGTCCAGCCCGAGAGCACCCACTGCATGTAGCGCCTTCGCACCGTTCGGCTGGCGGTCGGCCATCCCATCTGGCGCGGGTTTGGCATTCAGGGCCTCGCTGTCCCGCCTCCCCCACCGTAGTCCCAGTTGTCCTCTTCTCCTTCTCCTCATCATACGTTTGTTTCTCACAGGGAGCTCAGCGTCGTCATTGTGGTCCTCGTGGTGGTTGTCCCCCTCGTCCTTCTCCTCCCCCCTATCCCTCCCCCCTATCCCCCTCTCGGCCAGCGCCCAGGCTGGAAACTCAGCGGGCAGTGGTCTCAGGGCCAATGGTATAACCTCGGCTTGGGCCCGCGGAAAAATCATAGAAATGGGGCCCACACCACCTGAACGCTAAAATGTGCATAACAACAAAGCACGGCCGCCATTGACATTATCAGCTTGACCGTAGGTGGCGGGGAAGGCGGCCGATCACTCTGAGAACGATGGGAAGAACATCGCGAGGAAGGCCGCCGAGCAGAAGCGGGAGACTGAGGAGAACGACGGTGAGAAAAAGCTAGGCTTGAGCCTATGCTCCTGGCGCCGCTTCCCAACACCCAGCAGAATGTGAGCAGCAGCGTCGGCAAAAGATAAGGGCGGAGGAGGGAATGACGAAGAACGGCCAGGGCAGAGGGAACGAAGCTCGCCACTGAACACCAGCCGGTGGGCCCGTTTCTTGGGTGGCGTGCCCGTTGTAAGGCAAACCGATACATAACAAAACAACCACACATGCAAAGCAACGCAAAGCAATTCAAAGCTATGGAACACAGTGAAGGAGGTTGAGCCCTCCCTCATCGTCCTGTCCCCTCCTCGCTTCGTTCCTCGCTGCACTGCTTTCGCACCGCCAGCGCTCTGCGTCTGCACCACTCTGGAGTCGGATTCGCGCACTTTCTCGGATGCGTGACGCGTGTGCGACCCCTGGACAGGCAAGAGGTGGCGCAGGCTGGGCTGGGCGTCGCGGTGACCAAAGGAGGTCTTCGACCGAGGTCCGCTGCGAACTCCACCCCGCACCGTGGGTTGGACACGAAGCCCAGGCAGGAACGACGTCGTATCGGACAGAGGAGCAAGAGAGGGATGAAGAGGGAGGAGGACGGAGAGGGGGAGGGACTTGTGAGAAGATGCGGAGGAGCAGCAGGAGCTGGAGCAAGAGCAGGGTGCGGACCATACTGCACAGAAGCCACAGCACCGAGGAGAGATCAACTGGGGGAGGCGGGGAGGAGAGGGAGCTGTCCCACCCCCTCCCCATCGCGTCACCATCTCAGCATCCTCCTCCTTCCCCCCCTCTCCCCTGGCTCCCCTCCTCCCCTTCCTCCTCCTGACCGCAGGTCGGGCCAGAGCGTCACGTGACGCCAGCGACCCCCTTCTTTCCACAACGCGAACACAGCTAGGCCATACTAGATGTGAAACGCCATTCAGCTCTAACCGGGGGGGAGTAGCACCGAACCAGCCCGAGAGCTCGATCGATCGAACGGTCCTCCACCTGATGGGGTAAGGAGGGGGATGGGGAGGTGCACGAGGAAGGAGGGGTGGGAGATCTACTGGAGGGGAGCATGCGGATGGCGAGGCAGACGACGAGAAGGCCTACAACCTTCCTCGAAATCAACTGCAAGTTTTCATTGCTGGATGACGCGCGAAACGCGACCCACGGGGTCAGATGTTTGTGTTTGCAGTCGCCAATGTACGCCACGTTTGATTTCGAGGGGAGGTGTACACACCTGGAGGGCGCCGAATCAACGTGCCATGAAACAAGGGAGCCCACGCGAAGTGCGGACTGAAACTCGCAGTCGTTCCGTCAGTTGTCGGCTAGTCTGCCTCACGTTGGCGACATCTGTGAATTTCGTGTAACACATCAACGGGCAAGCAGTCCAAAGCAAAGGCCTGCGAGAGGAGTGAGAAGAGAGGGCATAGACAACATGTTGCTTAAACAACTCGGGAATTACCCATCAAGCCGTGACGACGAGCTCCCCCCCGGGCCTGGAACGACAGCAACAGTTGCCTTCCTCCTTCTCCTCCTTCGTCCGCTGTTCCTCCTCCTTCCTGTTCCCTCCTTATATCTGTGCCCCTCATACTCCCACCTTCATCCCCTTCAACTATCGCTTTATTACTCCTCCTCCTCCTCCTTCATCCTGTTCCTTCTCTTCCTCCCCGTTCATTCTCCCGTTCCTTCCCTCCCCGCCTCCTCCTCTCCCTCCTCCTCCCTCTGCTTCCTCCTCCCTTTTCCGTCCTCCCTTTTCCATCCTCCCCCTCCTCCTTCCTTCCCTCCTCTTCCCTCCGAACCCCTTCCTCCGATCACCACTGCCTATCGGTATACACTCCGACTCGGCCCCCCCCGCCGGCCGAGAGCCCCCTCCCCATCCGGGACCCTCCGTCACACGCGTGACCCTCCTCCAAAGAGTGCAGAGGTCTACCACGAGCTTCGCCCTGACGTGACCACTCCGTCGCCCATGGCACAGCGCTCGCGGCGGGCATGGGACGGGGCAGACACCACGAGCGAGAGGCCGACACGTCGCACCCGCCTCGGCGCCGCGCTCGCTGCTCTCGAAAATCGAGCTGCGCTGGGGCGCGGCGCACACCCGTCGCGCGCCAGCTCGTCGACGCGCGCACGGGCGACCATGGAGCTCTCGCCTCGGCGCCGCGAGAACTTCGCTCGAGAGTGGCGCTCCCGCCCCGGCGCGGCGCCTACCTCTCACTGGCCAATGTTGGGGGAACAAAAAGTGGCATAAACATAAAGATTCGGAGGTCTGCGCGGATTCCTCGGATCGGCGCTGGGGCCCCCCCGGCGGCGCCTCCGGCGCCACCCCTGGCGCGCTCCGCGCGCCAGGGAGGGGGGTCCAGCGCCGATTCGAGAAATCCGCGCGGACCTCCGGGTTTTTATGTTTATGTCACTTTCTGCTCCCCTAAATGTTGGGGGGCCCGCGCGGGTGGGCGACTTGCCGCACTGGCCCAAGCTCCGTTCGACCTTCGTTCGGACGTGGTGAGCCGCGCGGGCGCGGCGCAGGGTTCGTTCGCCGAACTGCCTGGACGCAACCGCGGCAGCGGGGCCGCGCGAGAGCGGGCGACATGCCGACCTCGCCCGAGCGCTGCGCAATCAAGTAGTGAGGGTGGCACTTCAGTGTCGGCACGGCGCAGGCTTCGTCTTCGCCGCGCCTGTCGGACGCTTTGCAGCTCCCGCCCCCGAGCGGCCAGTGCATTTGTCCCTTCGCCACGTCGTCGGAAGAGGGGCCGCGCGCGAGCGTCTTCCGCATGCCGGGGTGGGAGCGACTTCCAAGCCGGATGTCAAGTCGTGCCTCAGGAGCCTGTCTCTTCATTACTTGCGGTATAACGGTCGTGATCGGGGAGGAGGGGGGGGGAGCTCGCCCCCCCTGGTCACACCACGGCGGGGGGGCGCCGTGAGCGCCGAAGCGCCCCTGCGCGCACCGCACAGGCCTGCGAGCACGACGGCGCGCCAGGGAGCTCCACATTCGCAACGCATGTAGCGAGAAAGGCTGGGGGGCTGCCCAGCCACTGCAAAGAAAGAGAGGTTGGCTAGGCCTGCCTCAGTGCTGCACTGGGCCCAAAAAGGAGTAGCGCCAGGACAATGCCGGGGGCGCCGGACGGGCTTGCCACGGCAAAGCTCTACGTCGGAGTCCGAGTCCGAGACTGCAAGCGCATGCGAGCAGCGCAGCGTGCCTGCGAGATGCACGGGGACCGACTGATCCAACGGAGAGCCTCGACGCCGCTGGCCTCCGGGGGCCTCCAGCTGACCGACGGCATCTGCCGGGGGCCCTGCGGCTCCCCCACATGCCCACCAAAAGCGTCGACAACGACATGTGCAAAACATGCTGGCACGCTCTCCCCCTCCTCCTCCTCCTCCTCCTCCGCCTCCTCCTCCTCCTCCTCCTCCTCCTCCTCCTCCTCTTGCTCCTCCTCCTCCTCCTCCTCCTTTCTCCTCCCTTCTCCTCGTCGTTCCTCCCTCGTCTCTATTTTGTTGTTCTCTCTCACTGTCTCTCTCTCTCTCTCTCTCCCTCTCTCTCCCCCACGCAACTCCCACCAGAGATCGGGGGGGGGGGCTCCGAGGATCCTTCAGAAATCCTCGAAGGATCCTTAGGACATCTTTGCCAACATACATTGGAAAGTAGCGTGACGTGATCTGGGGGGGAGGGAGAGGGCCGATCACGGCCGCTATCGCCCGGACCTTAACAAAAACAGGCGCCGGGTGATTCTTATGTTGTGGGAAGGAGGGAAGGAGTAGGCGGGGCCCCCTGACACGCTCGACCGGGCGAACTTGACGTTCAGTCCGGCTCTGATGCACTGACGCACTGCTGTGTCACAAGTCCACTCTAGGAGCAGAGAGCGACAACAACTTTTATAATCGGGAGGCTAAGGCGACGCTTACGGAGAAGAAGGAAGGCCGAGGCAGAGGGAGGAAAGAGGGAAAGAGGAGAGTAAGCGCCGCCGAAGCCCCAAACCCAAGCCCTGCCTAGGCTGGTCCCAGGACAGGGTGGGATGTGGAGACTGGGAGAGGAAGCCGTTGGTGCTGCTCTTATCCGAAACTGAAATCCTGCTGTTATCCGCTGCTGCTGACTGTCCTCTGACAGATCCCCCTGCAGCTGCCTACCCCGCGTCAGAGTCGGACGAAGAGGGGACCCCCTTGGCCCTCCTCTCCTTCCTCCTCTGAACGTGGCCGTGGGCCCAACGGACTTCATTCAGTCCTGCTCTTACTCCCTCTCTCCCTGTTCCTCCTCCTCGCTTCCCTCCTCCCTCCTCCTTCTTCCGCCTTCCTCATCCTGCCGTCTCCCTGCTCCTCCCTCCTCCCTCTTCTCTCCTCCCTCCTCCCTCCTCCCTCCTCCTCCCTCCTTCTCCTCCACCTCCTCCTCCTCCTGCTCCTCCTGTTCCTCCTCCTCCTCCTCCTCCTCCTCCTCCTCCTCCTCCTCCTCCTCCCCCTCCTCCTTCTCCTCCTCCCCCTCCCCCTCCTACTCGCGAGGCGGGCTGCCCCTGGCGCGGGGGGAGCACCGCCGTGGATGGGGTCCTGGCGGGAGTGGGGGGGGGGGGGGGGGCGGTGCCGTACAGAGGCCAAGGTTTGAGGAGAGAGGAGGAATGAGACGACAGGAGGACGAAGAAGGAGGAGGAGGCAGGAAAAGGAACATGGCATGAAAAGGAAGGGAAGGGGGAGGAGGAGGAGGAGGAGGAGGAGGAGGAGGAGGACGAGGAGGAGGAGGAAGAGGAGGAGGAGGAGGAGGAGGAGGAGGATAAGGAGGAGGAGGAGGGAGGATGCAAAAGGAGGAAGAAGGAAGGGAAGGAAATGAGGGTGAGACAACTGAGGGGCCCGTATGCACCCAAGACGCATCAACAATGTTGCAATCCACTCCCCCCTCAAAGTCACATATTCGCACTGGTGCCTGGAAGGCATGTATGCTCACTGCGGGAGATGCCCCATCTTTGCCAAAACGCAACCCCTGGGAGCTCAACTCCGCGAAACAACATGGCTGTTACGTCCTGATAGCCCTAAACGTGTCACAACAACACGACCGCGGAACGAGCTCCTGCCTGGCCGCAACAGCATTGCTGGGGAAAAACCCAACCCTACATTCACGACTCCGCTCGGCCCAAGGGCGCCTAGCAACTGCAGCGTCGTGGGCTACGCCGAGTCGCCGCAACGCAGCCCCTTGGCATCCGCGTGCAAATGTGCTTCACGCCCCCTCGAGCCCCGAAGGCTCGTCTGGGGGCGGTGCCCCCCCCCCCCCTTTGTGGCCATCGGGTCCTGTGCCGTGGAGATCATGGTCTCCGTTGGATGGTCTGTCGAGCCCCTGGCCGAGCGGCTCGGCAGCAGGGGCTCCTCGCCAGGAGAGCCAGAAGTCTTATGAACGGAGTGCCGACCACGGGCCGCGGAGGCGGCGGGGCTTGGGCCTCTCCACCCGCCGCGGCAGCGACGCCGCCCGCGCAGTTGGCGTGACTTGGCGGCGGGTGGAAAGCCAGCGGCACAGCAAGAGCAGGCAAAACCGAAGCAGACCAAACAAAAGCGGGCGAAACAGTAGCGGGCGAAGCCCCTCGGGGCTCTCTGTGACATGATCTTCGCGGAGAATCCATGGGCGCTTCTTCGGCCGGCGCCGGACGCTCGAGGCCGGGCGGCGACCGTGCCGCCTCGAAGGAACCGCCCCGCTCGCAGGAGGCGCGTCGGCAAGAGGCGGCCGGACGGGCTGCCCGCACAGAGAGGGGGCCCGCGGGGCACGCCCCCCGCCCTCGTCAGGAGCGTCCGCTGCGGGGAATGTTTATATCCATATCCAGTGCGTCTTGGACTTTCCTGGACGGGGCGCCGCAAGGCCGAGGCGCACTGGATATGGATAAAGATTGAGCCTTGTGGAGGCGGATGATGATCCATATCCAGTGCGCCTCGTGTTTCTTGGGAAGAGAGTCCGGAACTCCAAGTCGCACTGGATGTGGATAAAGGCATTGCCCGCATCCGCCAACGCCGACATTGGGCCAGCCAGGGGCCAGGGGGGGGTCCCTGCGCCCCCCGAGCGGCCGCGACCAGTCGCGAGGGCTCGCGCGAGCGGTGCCGCTCGCGAGGGCCGCCGCTGCCTTCGGCGCCACTTTCCGGCGAGAGCCCCCCGCGTTCCCCCGACCAGGCTGGCTATGTAGCATGTGGCGTCTGGCGCTATCGGCCCAGATCGTTGGATCTCGATTCTCTCGGTCGCGATCGCTAGCGACCGATCGGCATTCCGCATCGGTCGCGGCCGATCGATCGATCGGTTGCGAAGCAAGCCGGTCGCGACCGCCACCGAGATCTGAAGCGACATCGGTAGCGACTGTTCTCGTCGGAGGGCCAAGGGGGGGCGAGCGTCCCGAGCGACCGCGGGAGGTCGAGAAGACGCACCCCGACCGCCCCGATGGCACCGGCCGCGGGCGGCACCCCTGCAGACGGCGAGGGCGGGGAGTCCCCGCATGCGGGGGGGTCCCCGCCGGGGACCCCCGCAGCGGGGGCGACGCGACACCCCGAGCTGCGGCCCACTGCTCGGCGAGAACAGCGCCCATCCCGTGGAAAGTCGGCGGGGGCGGTGCCACGTCTGGCGCGCGACGGCGCAATGAATCACGCCTGCGCAGCGAGGCCGCGGTCGCCTTGCCCTGTCGCGCGCGCGACCTACGCACAGCAGAGGCCGATGTGTGCCCGACCACAGCGGTGCGCGCGCGTCTTCGAGCCCCCTTGCGCCGTGGGCCAACCAAAACCACGGCCCATATAATTAGGAAAACCACCGGGTGCCGATGGCGCTGCTCACAGGACCTCTACTGGGGTGCGGCCTGACCATGGTTTCGAAGCGAATCCATCGGTGGCAACGAGGGCCTCCGAGGAGGCCGAAAAAGGGGAAAGCGGGCGAAAGGTAGTGGTATGGGCACCTTTTCCCCTCCGAATAATGCCTTGTGCCACAGACAACGGCGGCCAACGCAGCGGTCCGATCGGCATCGGCTGCGAGGGCGGCGCCGCGTTTTGCCCAAACTGCGGACCGTTGGGGCCTCGCGGTGTGCCCGTCCGCCACTCGCGTGGCAACGGACACGGCTCCGGCCCGGGAGGGGGCCAGAAGCCAGCGCGCAAAGGCGAGGCGGCCTTGGGACTGATGCGCGGCGGGGTGCCGACCTTGCGAGCCACGGTGGCACTTGAAACAGCGGTACGACACCCTCCGTGGGGCCGTAACAGCATCGCTGGACGGCCGCATACCAACTAAATCAGCACCTGCCTGGGGTCGTACCGTGCGCCGCCTGAGCACGCGGAGGAAGACGCGAAGCAAGTCGTTCGAGGCCGTCGAACGAGAAGAGTCCGCGCCCCGCCCGGCTTCAGCAGCCGGCGACCGACCAGGAGAGGGGGGGTCAGCACCCCACTCGGCGAGGCCTGGCGGCGAGAGGAGGCGCCCGCCCTGGGCCCTCACCGTGAGCCGCAGCCCGGGGCCCGACGCAGCGTCGGGAACGGAAATCTCTCGAGGCGGTCGACCGCAGGAGGCTGCACCTCCCGCGCTCCGAGGGCCAGGGGCGGGGGAAGCGCGCCCGGCGGTACCCTGCGAGGGCTGCGTTGCCCAGCGAGGAAGTTGAGCCAAGGCGAGGCCGCGACGAGATGAGAAGGAGTGGGGGAGAGGCAGAGGTTCGGAGGGTCCACCAACTCCGACTCCTCCATCCCGAGCGCAGTCTTCTTCGCGCCCTTGACCTCGCTGCCTGCTGTCAGGCGCGCGCCAGCGGGAGTGGCCGCGTGAGAATGGGCGGCAGTCGACGGCCGATGCGCGAGAGGCGCCTATTCCCCGACCAGCTGAAATAGAGGGTCGGACGGGAGCAACACTGTGCCATGGCGCATTGCATGGCGCATTGGCGTGTGAGTTCCTGGTCCTCGTCCTCGTCCTCCGCCTCTCCTACGAATGGAAGCCTCCAGTTCCGCCGCTCTGAGGGTCATGAGGGAACAACTACTAGGAAGGCACCAACTATACACCAACACCGATCCTGGCCAGGATCACCCTGGGCCCAGGATCGGTGTATACGCCCTCCTGCCTTGCGCAAGAAGGCATATACACCGATCCTGGGCCCAGCGTGATCCTGGGCCAGGATAGGTGTTGGTGTATAGTTGGTGCCCTCCGAACTACGAGAGAGAGGAAGGGAGTTTGGTGGCTGCAGGAAGCGGCAGGCCTCATCGGCCACCAAACCCAGAGGGGGGTGGCCCGGGGGGCAGCGTGGCCCACCGAGCGAGGGGCCTCCCTCGGGAGACCGCAGGCGCGCTGAGGCTCGTGGCGGCGCTCAGCAGAATGGGCAGATTCGCCTGACGAAGAAAAAGGTGGTAGCAGCGACCACCCCTCCTCTCCCCCCCGCCAGTAGCGAGGGGTAGCAGGCAGAGCGCGAGGAGACCGCATCGCATAGAGGTTCTCCCTTCACTCCCTTAGCTTTCGGACGGGGCATCCGGCAACAGGAGAGCAGGAGGAGGAGGAGGAGGAGGAGGAGGAGCAGGAGGAAGAGGAGGAAGAGGGGGAGGAGGGGGAGGAGATCAGCTGCAGCAGCGGGCGGGCCTCCCTGCTGAAAAACGACCGTCCGCCACCGGCGGCAGGCTCAAGACGGAAGGGGCGAAGGAGCTGCCTCGTCCTTGTGCCTCTCCCCCCTCCTTCAACTGTCACCCCCAGTCGTCTTCGTCCTCGTCCTCGTCAGCACCACCACCGTTCTCAGAGGTAGCCCCCTCACCCCTCATCCCACTCGCTGTCCTGCTCCTCCTCCCTACTCGTTGTACATCCTCCTCGTTGTCCTCATCCTGATCGTCCTCGTTGTCCTACTCGTTGTCCCCCCCTCGTCCTGCTCTATGTCCATCTTCCTCGTTGCCCTAATCCTACTCGTTGTCCTTCTCATCCCTCCACGCCCCTCCTTCTCCCTTTCTCCATCCCACCGCGGCGCGCACAAGAGGGCAAGGCGATCGGGGGTGGCCTTCTACGACGGCGTGGGGCGCATTGGCTTCAGGGAGCTGGCTCCTGCTACTTAAGAAGCCCCATGCCTTCTTTGAAGGCAACCACGCATCAAACTCCCTGCCTCCCTCTTCTTTACCCTTCTCATTGGGGCGTGCCGGAACATACGAGCACTGTGTGTCCTTCTCGGAGGCGTGCGTCCGACCCGAACATGTAATCCAACCGTCTTGTAGTGTATCGTTTCCCGAGCGGTACGGCCAGAAAGCGCCCGCCACGGCGTGTATGCTATAATCTTTGTCGGCGCGCGCGTCGCCACTTCGGGGGCGACTCACACATGGAATTCGTGGGTTTAAGTGGCGTTGATTATTCGTCCTGCTCATCCACATGTTCCTCCTCCCTGGACCTCTCTCAACGCGTTGTGACCAAAACTGCGAGGCGAGCCCGGCCGTTGGGACGAAGACACCAGAAGAGGTCCGAAGCTGTCCAAAACCTCAAAGCCCTCCCCACCGCGGCCAAAAGTCTTCAGCAACAGCCTGGGCTAGGACGAGCAGGCTCGTACGCGCTGCTCGGCCAGACGCCGAAGGCGAACCCGGATCCTGGGACGCCGCGCCGAGAAGGCCAAGTGGCGAACCTCGAGCCCACATGGCAGTCACAGACACCTCAGTGAGCGACCTGCGAGACAGCGCGGCCATGGGCAACGTCTTGGCCGCCCTCGGCGAGGAGAGCAGAGCCTCCCCCCTCTGTTCACCCCCTCCCCTCTGTTCCCCCTCCTCCTCCTCGTGTCTCGAATCTGGGTTGGAGGTGGTGGGCCATGCCCCCCCTGTACCTCGTGTCGCCACAAGCTGGCTGCAGGCATGGCGAGCAGCCAAGGCAAGCGCAGCAGTGGTATGTCTGCGCCGGCGGTATGAACGCAGCTCAGAATCAGTACCCCTATTCCTCCCTATCCTCCATCCTCCATGCTCCTCCTGGATCCTCCTGGATCCTTCCTCCTCCTCCTCCTCCTCCTCCTCCTCCTCCTCCTCCTCCTCATGCATCCCCCCCTTCCTCCTGATGGATCCCCCGCGTTCCTCTTCCTCATCCTCCCCCCCTCCGTCCTCTTTTCTCGCAAAACTCATTTAAAATCGTCGTTGTCGTCGTCCTCTTTCCTCCTCCCTCTTCCTCATTCACTCCCACACTTCATTATAAAGTCGGCGTCGTCGTCCTCCTCCTCCTCCTCCTGCTCCTCCTCTTTCTCCTCCTCCTCCTCATCCTCCTCTTCCGCCCTCCTCCTCCTCCTCCTTCTCCTCCTCCCCTTTCACTCCCCCCCCCTGGCCGCCCAGCCCCGCGGGCGGTCCCTTGGCGCCGCCACGTACTGGCCGTTCCCCTCCAGTGCGAGGGCGCCCTTGGCCTGGCTGGTCCTGTGCGCGCCGGCTCTTCTCGAAGGCCGCCGTCGCCGCAGGAGGGCCCCAGGAGGGCCCGTACGTGGACATTACATTTGAACCCTGCGGCCCAGGATGCCCCCCCCGGAACCCCCGGAGTTGATATCGAGAGCGTTGCGCGGGAAAGGGCGCGAGTGGACAGAAATGATCGAGTCCCCAAAGCACCACCACACTGAGATCAACATTGATTCGGGGGCGGAGGGGATGATCAGAAATCCCCTCGACCATGAAAGGGTTCAAACATTTTGTCCATCTACTGGCCCTCTCGTTTCAGACTGGAGCAATGGGGGCAACCCCAATCGGGGGAGGTGGGAGGAGCAACAGGTCGTTCGCGCGAACTATGGCGCGGACTCTTGCGTGAACAATCGCTGGGGGGCACGGACTATTGCAAGGGACGTGAACTATTGCGTTTGAAAGGGTACACGATTGCATCCACGCGCAGCTATTGCAACCAGACCGCGAACTATTGCATCCGTGCAGACCCTACTGCAAAAACGATTGCTCCTGCTCTGCCCCCCCCCTATCTGTGCGACCCTCGTCCTCGCTGCTGCCGTCCCCGAGTCTTCCAACCCGGCGCTCTTCCTTTCTGTTTCGTTCGCCACGGCCCGTCAACGGCAGGGGACCATCAGAAATGGATCTGGAATGCAGAACTCCGCCCAGGGCCCCACGGGAGGGGGGGTGGGGGCTTCTGGGGCAGCGGATTGGAGACATCGTATCGGAGGATGATTGGGCCCTTCGTCCGCCTCCTCTTCCCGTGCGTTCTGCGCTGGCCAGGCGCTGCTCTGCGGCTGAGCGCTGCGCCGTAGACTCTTCCTGTACCTCCTCCTCCTCCTCCTCCTCCTCCTGCTTCTCCTCCTCCTCCTCCTCCTCCTCCACCTACTCCTCTCTCGGCCCCACCCGATGCTTACCCAAGCCACCACCACCACCATCTCACCCTCCATCCTACCTCATCCCCCTCCCCCCCTCCCTCCCTCCTCCCTCCTCCCTCCCTCCCTCCCTCCCTCCCTCCCTCCCTCCCTCTCCTCCTCCTGCTTCTCCTCCTCCTCCTCCTCCTCCTCCACCTCCCCTTCCTCCCCGCACACCATCCTCTTCATTCCCCGCCGCCGCCCCCCTTGCCCCATCCCAGCCCTCCCCCGTCCCCCGCATCGTCTCCGCCCAGAGGTCCGCTGGGCCCAGAACAGAAGCTGGCTTCATGCTTGGAACGTGGGGATGCAACTCCCCGAACTTCTCTGGCTCGGACGGCGGCCAAGCCTGATGGAACCGTGGGCTTCTCCGCCCAGGGTCTTCTCCGCCGGATGCCGAGAAAACGCGCTCGTGTCATAGAACTTGCCTGGTCGGGTATCCGGCGGATCTGCTCGATCTTTGGGCTGCCACGCTCAGAATGGGGTCAGGTGCCGAGAAATCTGCTGAGAATTCCAGAAGACCTGCTGACTGTGTCCCAGCGCAGCGCAAGGGGGGCCAAAATGGCAGGCTGGATCTCCTGCCACCGAAGCCGGCGCCGAACAAGGCCCCGACGACCGCGGCCATCAGCAGCACACCTCGAGGGGGAGAGGCACTGGCGAACAGAAAGGAACGAAGGTGCAGTAGGCACGGACGCTAAGAACTCCTGCTACAAGAGATCCTGGGGCACATGATTCGTCTATCTTTCAGTGTCCTACGGTGCCCCGGAGCTTATATGGTTCCTTGGGATCACTGTGGGATAAGACATAAAAGAAGGGCACCTGCTGGCAGGCCGATTTCTGATTTGCCGTGCCTCCGGTACAGACAAAGTTTTGCGTCATGAGAGGCTCTAGATGGAGATCCGAGCCACTCCTGGGGGCCCCAACTGAGCATATGTTTACGGGGAGCGCCCAGTGAACCCACGAAGGACCTGAGGAGCCCGCATCGGGCTCCTTCCCAAACCAAAGATGTTCTGATTCTAACATTCGGCCCTAACCCATGAGACCCCGAAGTATCTCATATACGTGAAATCATTGTGCATTGCTGAATCGTCAGGGTTGGCGCGGTTCGCTCGCCGACGAGAAATCGTCTAAACACCAAACGAAAACAATATTGAGGAGGGAAAGGGGGCGGTGCGGGAAGCCTGCGAGAGACGAAGAGTGCCATGCACTAACAGAAGCCGCCGATGGGCTCCTCCTACTTCTCTTCCGCAGTCGCATCAACAAAACATACAGCAGTATCAGTGGTGATCGTGGGTGTTGCTATCCTTGTCGGTGGTGTTAGTAGGCAGCGGCAGCAGTGGCATTGCCAACAGCAGAGGATGCGGTAGCAGTGGTGGCAATGATGGTGTAAATTGTCATGGGAATGCACGGGGGGGGTACCGCAACTTAACATATTCCCAACGCCGCACTGGCCACACGAGCTTTACAACCCAATCGTTTGCTGAATGCCTATGGGGGTTCATCGACCAAATGACGAAGAAACGTACCAATTTACTTCTTGGCCCTTGGAGGGTCATCCCGCCCTGGGTAGCACACGCAACCGTCCAAGAAATACACTCCCACGCGAGTGATATTTCGATGGCATTGCCATGGGCTGGCTGCCGCGACTTACGACAACGTGCGCAATCTGACAGCGCAGTCGTAAAATGGCCACTGATGCAAATGCCTCTGCCTCCCCCTTCATCTCCCCCTGCCACTGCCCCGACTTCCTAACCCGCCCGCCCATCTACACATGTTTTTCGCTCTGCACTCTTTAGCCAAGAATGCCCGACGTCAGAACTGTCGCCGCGTGCTCTTCCAACATCCCGATACGACCTGGGTGAACACCGACTTACCAAGTCTAACGCCTGTCGGACCCACTGAGAGATGAACCTCGCGGGTTGTACTCGCACCGACTGGGCTCACAATGGTCGGCAATGGTTGTACTCCGGGTTGGTTGTACTCCGGGTGTTGGGACTCGCAGCGATCGGCATCGTAGGTATTCACAGTTCTATGGGCAGTCCGTGGCAAGTAGTGGCGCATGCCACAGGTTGATTAACTGGCGCGTTCCGTTACATGAGTTGCACTATCCCGTACGAATATATCAATTTCAACTTGCGTGATGGCTGCTTCTTGACACTCTGGTACCATTGGCTCCCTCGAAATGGCCGGAAGTACACCCGTCCAGGAAGCGAAGGGCAGGTGCCATAGCACCATCTGTCTAACGACCATCATCTTGACTCCGATATGACACGATAGAGCTCGCATTCGCTTTACGTTTCCGGCTCTCCCCTCACGCATCTTCTGTAAACCATGATTTTCGTGCATATTATTTGGCTGGAGCGGCAACTTGTCAGGCAAGAAACACTGGCTTGCTGTTGTCTTCGCTCAGGGTACGAATCGCTCCCCATGGTAATTCGACTGTCTGCAACATGCAAACTCATGTTAGCCCCGTCGTCGAGATTGTTTGCATTACTTCCAGTAACAATCGTTACACAAAGGGGGTGGGGTTGGAGCCCCGCCTGAGTAACTGTAACGCTTGGGCGGGGCAGGCTTAGTCAGGGTAGGAATGCGATACGATCGTCATAGCATGCGCTCGAGTACCAGCATGTGGGGAGGGGGACCCAGGACCCTCCCTCCATACGATCGTTACCGTTTGCCTGGCGACGACCGTTACGCGAAGGAGGACGAAAAATAAGATCCTCCCGCGCTCTCTCTCTCTCTCTCTCTCCGCCTCCTGCTCCTCGCCGTCACCTCCTCCGTCTCCTCTGCCTCCCTCGCAGGGGCCCGAAATCGCGAGGCGACGCCTGCACTGACGCTCAAGAACACGAGGGTCTTCCTCACCGGGTCGTCGGAAGAGTCCTGCTGCGCCTCGGCGGGAGCTCCGGGCGGCCACCGCGTGGCACCCCGAACCGGCGGCAGACGGGCAGGCGATGCAGACTGGCAGGCCAGCAGCAGAGCAGGCAAGCAGGCGAGCGACCGAGCAAGAATCGACCAGGAGAGGCACGCGATCCCTGCTGGACCGCCGAGATCAACATCGTAAGCTTCGCATCTGCCTCTGTGCCCACGGCGCGCAACGCCGTGTACACAATTCAGGCCAGGAGGGCTGGGTGGTTTCGACGTGCGCGCGCGTGTGGCCCGCACCGTCTAGTCCGACAGAATGGCACAGCACAGCGGCGGTGTTTTTCCGAGTTGAGCACCTGCGCGCCTAAGTCCAGCAACTCCTGGGAACACAAGCCATGGGGGGAACAAGATGCTGAATGGGTGCATCTGGGAATGGTGAGAATCTTGGCTTTTGGGGATGGTGTTGACATGCGCGCGGGGGCGGGGGTGTACGCCTGCAGCCGAAGCGGCGTGATGGTAGATCGGGATTCTGGCAGAACGCACTTGTCAGATCAACGCGTGTGCACCACGTCTTTTGCTCACTTGACAGGGATGATGGGGGGGCGATATAGGCCTGGAATGGAATTACGCTGTGAAATCAAATTCAAACCAGCCAGGAGCGCATTTTTTATTTGCAACCATAACGGGCGTTATGGGGGGGAGGGGGGCGGGGGGACGGGAGGGGCATAACGTAGCGCCCCTCCACCAGACTTGAGAAGGGACAGACCGTCCTGACATTCCTGTAGGCCTACAACGACATGTTATTATAATCAAAGCATGTTCGAATAACAAGAACAATGTTCTTAGAACATGAGCCCAATGTATTAAAACACGACGGTCTCAGCCAGAAGTGTTCTAAGAACATGTCGTGCAAACCACAACACTTGCTCAGAACATGCTTAAGCGGGCCTGTAGGCAAGCCGGGACCCTTCGCCGCTGCTTGACAGACTGTGGTGCCGGAAGCCCTGCGGCAGTGCCGGGGACGCACTGAGGGGGGGAGCGCTGCGTTATGGAGGGCGAGCGAGCGAGCACGCGATGTCGGTCCAGCGGGACCGGCCCTGCGAGGGCAGCGCGGGGGGGCCGGGGCCCTCAGAAGAGGTGTTGCGAGCAGAAAGCGGAGAGATGGACGTCGGGGTCGGAAGCCTTGGAGCACGAGTCGGGGAGATGGACGCTGGAGTCGGGGAGATGGACGCCGGAGCGTTGCGTTATGGAGGGAGGGGGGGGGGGAGGGTAGGGGGCAGCACGCGCGTCAGGGCCCAGAGGGCTTTTCCCAAGCGCACGCTCCCGCGCACGGGGCGCCCCAGGGAGCGCCCTCGGGGAGGCGACCGGGCGCCCGTCCGGGGAGCCCGGCCAGCGCACGGGGATCGCCCACGAGGCGCCTGCGGGCGGCGACCCCGGGAGAGTCAGAAGTAATAGTCGATAGAATAATAATAGCCAACAGTGGAAGAGAAATAAACAAACAATAATCAAGGTCGGGCGTGTGCTCCTACAGGCGGACAGTGGAAGAAACATCAGCAACGGTCGAACATAGCGTTAAAGCAAATCAAAAAGACGCGAACAATCGTGACCAGTCTATGTCCATCATTCTTGGATATTCATGTAGAGAGACATGCCCGACTCCAACTTAGAAGCCAGGTAAGAGTCCTTTCAGTGAGATGCGATGGTCCTCCTTCTGGTTCTGGTTCCTGGTGGCTGGAAATAGAAGAGGGGAAAAAACTGCATAAACATAGACGTTTGGCGCTCCGCGCGAATTTCTCGGATCTGTGCTGGGCCCCCCTTCCTGGCGCGTGGAGCGCGCCAGGGGCGGCGCGGAGCGCCGATCGAAGAGATCCGCGCGGAGCGTCGACAGTTTATTCCCTACCTAGGCTCTGCCTAGAGGGTTCTTACTCTCTTTTTTAAAGGGGCCGGGCAGTGCAACTCGCCCCGGGCGGTTCCCCCAGTCCCCGCCTCGCGGTTCCCCCAGTCCCCTGGGAGCTTTAGCTTTAGCTTTAGCTTTAGCTTTAGCTTAGCTTAAGCTTAGTTTTAGCTTAACTTTAGCTTAGCTTTAGCTTAGCTTTCGCTTAGCTTTAGCTTAGCTTTAGCTTAGATTTAGCTTAGCTGTAGCTTACCTTTAACTTAGCTTTAGCTTAGCTTTAGCTTAACAGCATCTTAACTTTAGCTTAGCTTCAGCTTAGCTGTAGCTTAGCTTTAGCTTAGTTTCAGCTTAGCTTTAGCTTAGTTTCAGCTTAGCTTTAGCTTAGCTTTACTGTTACTACTAATGCTGCTTTCCTAGGGGCTCCCACTCCTAGGTAGGGTCGCGCTGGGATAATGCTTATGTCTTATGCCGCTTTTTCTCCTTCGGGGAGAGAGCGTTGATCGTCGCCTCCGCCCCACAGGGCCGGTCGGTCCTGGGGGTGATCCAACTAGAGCCTGGTGGCCCTTGGAGCACCGCTCCAAGGGTCATTGGCTGGCACGTACCTCAACGTGGTCCTCCTCCTCCTCCTCCTCCTCCTCCTCCTCCTCTTCCTTCTCGGGTGCTGCTAGAAGTGTCCCCAGCCCAAGGTTCCCCGATGCTTTTCAAGGAGCCCCATCCCCGCTGCCTCCAGAGCACCTCGCGTGGACCAGAAGGCCCCAGGTGCTCCAGACTTGAGCGAAAGGCTGGCGGCACCTTGAGCCAGGGGCATCTTTAGCAATCTCAGATCTTCTCCCCCTGAACCCTCCTTTCTCGTGCGTTTCCGGCCCCGCCGGAGGAGCGCTGGTGCCGCTGAGCGCGCTACGGCATTCTTCTGACGGTCGCCAGCGGGGCAGGAGGAGAAGGAGGAGGAGGAGGAGGAGAGGAGGAGCAAGGGGGAGCTAGGTAATGATGATGATGCTGATGATGATGATGAGGAGGAGGAGCAGGGGGAGGAGGAGGAGGAGGAGGTACAATTGAAGAATGGCGTGGAGGAAGAGAAGATCGAGGCGGAGGCAGAAGATGAGGAGGAGGTGGAAACGGAAGAGAAACGAGGATAACAAAGGCCGCTAAGCGCACCGCGCTCTCATTCTTGCGGTCGCCGGATACCCGCTGCCCCCCCGGGTGGGGGGGGGCCTCCCTGCAGGAGGAAAGGCAGCTTGTCTGCGTGCGCGGCCCGCATACAGCCTTGCCCTCCTTGCCCTCGCCCACCTCAGCCTCTCCTCCTCCTGATCCTCGTCGCCCTCCTCCTTCTCCTCCTCTGTCGTAGTGCGCCAACTTGAATCCTAAGACGCGTGCATGCTCATATCTCGGCGCTGCTTCTGGCCAAGCGGCCTCTAGTCCTTGGAAGGCTTTTCGAGGCGGCGTCTCCTCCTCCTCCTCCTCCTCCTCCTCCTCCTCCTCCTCCTCCTCCTCCTCCCCCTCCTCCTCCTCCTCCTCCTCCTCCTCCTCCTCCTCTCCCTCCTCCTCCCCCATCGCAATCCTCCAACGCGGCAGGCCCCATGTTCGTCTCGCCGCCCCGCCCATCCGTGCTCTGCGGCTCGACGTCGGCCGTCGGTCGCCGCAACCCCGCGCCAACGATGCCTCCTCCCCCCCCCCACAGACACACACTGGATGTTTATTCTCCTGCACTGCACAGCTGTGCTATTGAACTCGGGGCTCTTTTACTTCGTCGCCGTCCTCCTCCTCGTTCGTTGTCGTCCCACCTCATTGGCCACATCGGAGCTCCCTGAGCCTAGGCCCACCATGAAGGCCCTGACTGGCCCGAAGAGACCTGGATGGCCTCCTTGTGCAAGAGCCACGGCGTGCGGGTAAGGCTTTCCTCCAAGCAACACCTGATGGCCCTTGCTCATGACAAACGTCCATAAACAATTCTGGTGTGCAACCTGTACTCCGTGAGTCTTAGGCCTCCGACGCCATTACGACCAATTGTACATATACGTATATATATATATATATGTATACAGATTTGTATATGTATACATATATTCTCGGGCATAGGTGGTAGGAACAGCGGGGACGAACACCGATAGCAACTGCTGTCCATTTTGAACGAGATTCGCCGTCGGCCCGTCCGTTTGAAACAGCCGCCGCTGCCCAGCGGCCGCTGTCGGTGTTGGGCAAGAAACGCTGTTGAGCATCGTGCCCACTGTCATGTAGCACCCGTTTCGGGCATGCCAGATCTCTGGGGACGCCCCGTCTGGCTTGCGCGTTCTGGCATCACGTCCGACGGCGCCAGCATGCCACGTGCGCGGGACATGCGAGGCCCACGTCCGGCACGCCCGTGTCTCGCACACACCGCGACCTCAAGGCTCGGCCAAACTCCTCTCTTCAACATACCACTGGCATCCCGAAAGACGTGGCTCATCTGTCTCTCTTCCTTGTCCTCCACCTCATCCTACTCCTGCTTCTCCCGTTAACACCCCCTGAGAGGAGGAAGGGAAGGAGTGAGGCCCGAGGACGAAGGGGAGGGAGAGTGAACGACCCCTTCCCTGGAGGATGAGGAGGCGGAGGATGCGCGGGTGCTGCTGCCTGCTAGCTGAAATCTACTCTACTGCCAACAGTTCCAACCTGCTAGAATCGGAGCATGAAGCCATGCTGTCAATGAACCTGGCGCGACCTCAAATAGGGGTCAACCGAAACCCGTGCTGAGCAACGCACTGCTTGACACTGGTTTGCATCGCTCGGAATCGTTTCTTGGCATTGCATGGCATTGCAACATTACTTTGTATTGCCTCGTCGCATGGTGTCAATTGGCATTGCTTGGCATTGCATGGGCAACCCCGGGCAACTACGGGTAACGCCGGGGGTGGAGAACCCAGCGACTACGAGTTTGTTTCAAAAGCAACGGAGGAGACTCTTCGACACTACCAAAAGGGGAAACATCTTGGAAAAGGCGGCACGCTGGTCTCGGAAGCGTCTCGTGGGCCCTTAGTTCGATACGCCCAAACCTAGGACAGAACAACATCCTTCAAGAGCATGAGACCCTCCGCTGGCCAAACTGAAGAGCTCGAGGGTACCCTCCCTCAGGATGCATAAGAACATCCACCAGGCACGACGAGCATCAGGGTACCCTCCCCGAACCGACCTCGATCTTAGATCCCGACCGTGCATATTTGGCGTCTGCTCGGGCGCTCCTCGTCAGCCTGAGCGTCACTTTGGCAGAGAAGGGGCTGCGTTCTTGAGTAAAGGCTTCCCTGCAGCTTGGCTTTGGTCCTGCGCTGAACCCCACGACCAGTCTTTGCACGCCTGGGCTCGGTTGGACGAATAAGCTTCGAACGCAAAATTGGGTTCCCGCCTCGGTCAGGGGAGGAGGAGGACGAGGAGGAGGAGGAGGAGGAGGAGGAGAAGGAGGAGCAGGAGGAGGACGAGGGGGAGGATGCGGAGGAGGGGGAGGAGGAGGAGGAGGAGGAGGAGGAGGAGGAGGAGGAGGAGGAGGGGGAGGAGGAGGAGCAGGAGGAGGAGAAAGCGTCGGTTCTCGGACTGGGTGTGCCGCTGAGCTGAAACTCCGCCGATCAAAGAAGGGATACGTCGACCCCTATCCCAGGCTTCGAGGGGTTTTCGAAGGGACCAGAACTTGCGACCTCCTCCTCCTCCTCCTCCTCGTCGTCCTCCTCCTCCTTCTCCTCCTCCTCCTCCTCCTCCTCCCCCTCCCCCCAACCCTGGGATATACGATAGGGGGGGGCGTCCATCTCCTCAATAGGGGTGCCTCCAAATAGCTCCCCTTGAGCGGCCAAACTTTTCGGGCGGAGCTCGGGGACTGGGGGAGAACAGTCGCCTGCGAGCCGATGGTACCTTCCAAGTGCGAACGCAGATCCATCGTCGATTAACGAAGCTCGGGGCTGCGGGCGATGCCCGGAGGGCTGGGTACCATCGACACCACGTCGGGCGTCGTCGTCGTGGGGCCCTTCGCCGACACCATCAGGGTCCCATCCTGGCTGGGGTTCGCAAGCAAAACGCTGCTGCGTCCCCACAGCTGCCGAGCGGCGGGGCGGAAAGGACGCGATCGCCCTCTGCAGTCGGCCGGGGTGTGGGGGAATCGGAAAAGGAACCTCCTCCCCCTCCTCCTCCTTCCACGCTCTCACGTTCCAGTTCCTGTGCAAGTGCGCGGAGGGGAGAGTCAGAGGGGGGAGCAGTGGTAGAGCGAGCGGCTTGGGAGAACAAGTATCCTGGAGGGCAGGGGGGGATGTATGGGGAAGGATGGAAGGATGAGGGAGGAGAGAGGGGAGGCAATGGGAGGGAGGGACTGAAGGCGCCTGGGTAGAACGGAAAATCAAGCTGTGTCGGGGCGCCAAACCTTTGCGATCACAGCGACACGCGCTACTGAGGCACGTATTCGAAGACTGTTCCTTCATTCTACGCGCTCTACGCCCAGAGCTCCGCACGCAGGGCCGTCCTGAGCCCTGGCGCATGGCGTATACATGCCCTCCTGGCCAATGCCAAATCCAAGAGGGTCTGTACACCACCCTAGGGCCCATGATGGCCCTGGCCAGGGCACGGCGGTAGTGCATCGATGCCCTCCTGCGGAGGGGAGGTGAGGACCACCCCGAAACACCCGCGCTTCCAGGGGACGAGGGAGTCGGCAAGCCGCTGGACGAGCAACTAGTTATGTTTGTGGATGCCTCCCAAGTGGGGTCCGAGTAGATTTGGGTCGAGCATGTCCCCCTACAGGCAGATTTGACATGACAAATGCAAAATCGCCAGACATATCCCACACTGGTCAAACAATAATAATAATAACATCGTCCCCAGGCTATTTTTGACTATTTTGGAATATTTCTCCTGTAGAGGGACATGCCCGACTTAAGAGTAGATGGGGTCGGAGGATCGCGCCGCATCGCCAATTCATCGCCGATGCATCATAGGCGAAGTCGGCGATACATCGGCGCAGCTGGTCTGGATCAGATCGGGCTCCACATCGACTCGCATCGCCGACGCATCGGCGATGCGGAGCGATGATCCGACCCTATTTGGGAAGCAATCGCAAGTCTGGAGCGGCGACTGGTCGACCACGATTGGCAATCAAACGATCGCCGTTCGCGCGGGTCTCATATACAGTCCCACCAACCCTCCGGGCTGGGGGGGTAAATCTGTCCCTCTTCCATCCGCTCCTCTTTTTCCCCGTCGGGGAAGGGTTTCCCCCTCCCCCTCCCCCCCCTCTCCTCGGTCTCGACGGGGGGGCGTGCCAGCAATTAGAGCTTCCGCGATAGCCTTGGCGACAACACCAACGTCATATAAGTTATGTGTTCTACGTGTTGGAACGATTTTTTCCTCCTGAGGGTCACAGCTAATTCAGGACCTACTCCTTTTTCGATCGATATCCTCAAAGATGGCCCAAGTGTGCCCGAATCGCAGCCAAGAGAGCCCAAAGGCCCCCAGAGGAGACCAAGAGGAAGAGGCCCCCCAAGAGGTATCCCAAGAGACTCCGAGAAGTATCCAAGAGGTATCTGGCTCACAGAGGCTGTTGAGCTCTCCAAATGATGCCACGCGCCCCCGATGGGCATCTCCCCTAGGCATCCTCCCTGAATGGGCTGGTGTGCATACGCGAAGCGTTCAGACTCGCATTTCTCCTCAAACTCATCCTCTTCTTACCAAGTCTCCTCCTCCTTACCATTCGGGCGCACGCGACGTAACTGACGATCGACACTTGGGTAAGGACGGAATTCGTTCCCGAATCGGCGCAGATCTCGGTATCTGGATCGGGCGGGCTGCGATGACTCGAACACATAATGGACCACAAGTAACACACACACACACACACACACACGCACGCACGAACGCACGCACGCACGCAGATACAAACTCACACGCGCGCGCGCGCGCGCGCGCGCGCGCACACACACACACACACACACACACACCACACACACACACACACACACACACACACACACACACACACACACACACACACACACACACACACACACACGCACGCACGCACGCACGCGCGCGCGCACGCACGCACGCACGCACGCACGCACGCACGCACGCACGCACGCACGCACGCACGCACGCACGCACGCACGCACGCACGCACGCACGCACGCACGCACGCACGCATGCACCACACACATACACACAACATCCACACCCACACGAACCCGCACCCGCACACGCACACGCACACACACACACACACACGCACACACCCACACACACACAC